AGCATCGTTTAAGCACCGGCACCGTTTCAAAAGTACCGGTTTGGTACTGGTATCGGATAAAACCTAAACGATACCCATCCCTACAAAGGATAATGACCAAAGTGCTTCGAGCTGACAGGAAGGAAACAAAGAATCACTCGTTAGAACCATGGTATGCAGAAGACCATCTCTGAAAGAAAAACATTATAGAACCTTGAAGAAGATGGGCTACAGCAGCAGAAGACCACACCGGGTGGAACTTTTGTCAGCTAAGAACATGAAGATGACCTGCACTGACTTATTAAAGTTAGAGAGAAGATTGGAAAAACATTGCTTGGCTTGATTCTTGATGTCTGCTGCAGCATTTGGCAGTGGCAGTAGCTCAGGAGGTAGAGCAGGTCATCTACTGATTTGAAGGTTGGTGGTTTGATGCCAAACATCCTTGGGCAAGATACTAACCCCAAGTTGCCCTCTGATGCATCCATCTGAGTATGAATGTGTGCCAATGTTAGTTAGAGAGCACTTAAAGCAGGGGTGGGCAACTCCAGGCCTCAAGGGTTGATGCCCTGCAGGTTTTAGATCTCACCCTGGGTCAACACACCTGAATCAAGTGATTAGTTCATTACCAGGTCTCTGGAGAACTTCAAGACATGTTGAGCAGGTAATTTAGCCATTTAAATCAGCTGTGTTGGATCAGGGACGCATCTAAAACCTGCAGGACACCGGCCCTTGAGGCCTGGAGTTCTCCCACCCCTGACTTAACGCATAGAAGAAAATGCTGGTGTGAGTAGGTTAATGTGACATGTTGTATAAAGCGCTTTGAGCGCTCCAGGAGAATAGAAAAGCGCTATATAAGAATCAGTCCATTTACAAATTACATTTGGATTGTGGTCATATGGCATAAACAACTTCCATCCTGCCATCATCAGTTAAAGTGCTAATAGTGGAGAAATGGGTTTGGGAAATTATCTTGGTGCACTCTTAGTATCAGTTTAGCATTGTGGCCTCCACAGTCACCAGTTCTCAATTTCATGTAGTTTTATTGATCTTATTTCTTATCATATCATAAACAAATCGCATGAGCAGTCACAAAATTATGAGCTGAAAATTAGTAGGAACACATTCAAATTACAGCTCCCGCAGCTGACTGGGACCTTTTTTATGTTACTAATGCATTTCCAGTGTCCCTGACAACAAATATGTTAACCCAAGTTTTTGCAGTAATTTCAAGTCAGCTTGGTTAACCAATCCCTTGCTTCCCATAGTCCCTCAGAGCAGCTTTGCCCTAATATCTCTATTCATGCACTGGGCTTTGGTTGGTCCTTATCTGTGTGTGTCTTGCACTTTTTATGCCCTTTGACTACTGCTGGCTCGCTAATAAAGCATGCAAGTGAGCATCCACATATGGTTCATTTCTTCAGACACACACTGACTGACTTTGTCTGGGCCATTTTAGGTCATACATAAATGTGTTAGAAAGTAAAAAAGACAGAGATTAATAGTCTTTAGTTGAGATTTGTGGTGCTGATATACAAGCCGAGGCTGTGCCAAGCTTTGTGTCTGAGGGTGTGATGGGAAGGCAGGGAATGGAGCCAGCCTAGGATGAAGATCTATTTCATGGTTTTCCACTGTAGAGGACACGTGGTATGGCTCTCTACAAAAGATATGGATGTTTGGGGTATCTGAGCTGATCAGAGTGACTCACATGGATTTCGGTATTGAGGCGATGTCCTGCTGTGAACCCCTGGTGTACACACAATTGAATGGACTCATCAAACATTGAAGCACGGGCACAGATGAATGACATTCACGGAGTAGGCTTGCTTTCTATGAGCACACAAACATTCACATCAACTAGTACACTCCTCTGCTCTCCTCTCTTAACCATGAAGTGGTTAAATTGGCAGTTCAGTCACAGCAATGTTATACAGGAAAAAAACTCTCATTCCTCTCATGGACTGTGGAGTGGTCCAGCTCTGGTAAGGTGGGCACAGACTGATTTTTTTCTATTGCTGCTGAGGACAAACAGAATTTATCCTTCTCTATCAAAGCATTAAAAACATGTATCTGGAGCAGACTTTTAATTCGCTTTAACTTGAATGACACTCTTAGGGGAGAATTTGCATTGCGTCAGATGGGTGATTCACTACCAGGTAATTGCTCATAGAAAGTAGGGTTTGATTTCTTTAGTGTTGTACTGGGTGAGTCCTGCAGGGAGCTTTTGTGATGGCTGGTCCCCTGGGACACTGAAAACGTTACCACACTAACTGCTGCTGTCGGTCCAAAACCAGTGACCCACATCCACTATTCACATTCACAAGCTACTAATTTTTGTATTTTGTGTGTTTACAGGTTACAGTTTACATATACAAATTACACTTTTCCATCTAAGTATTTCTTAATCTAAACTTAATATGTAAATACTTTAAATGAAAGTTAGAGTTTGTACCATATTGCCTGATAATGTCTGATTTGGAACAGATTG